TTGTAGTGTCCATACCTGGCCAGTGTCCATTTGAACAGCTGCTGAATCCTTGTGTGGCCGAGTATTCTGTAACGAGGCGACAGGGACGAGAGACATGCGGATCCATTTGCAAAACTTTATTCATTAGAATGGTCAGTGACAGGCGAGGGTCAGACAATGGCAACAGGTATATTGAGGGCAAGACACAAGAATAATCCGATAAACAGGCATAGATCGATCAACAGCGAACATAATCCAAAGGGCTTGACAAGAGGGGTAATCCAATAAAATGAGCAATAGTCCAGGAAAGGTGCAAACACAGTCCGAAACAGCAAGGCAAAGGGTTAATCCAAGATACACAGGCAGAAGATCAGAAAACAGGCAAGGCAAGACTTTGACTAGACTAAGGAAACTAGAGCTAGAAACTTAAACAAGGACAGGGATCTGGCTTCGTAAAGTAGCTACGCTAAACAGCATAAATGCTTAAACAATACTCAGCAGTTTGAACAGGATCTGAGTGGGTGTTATATAGTGTGTGTGATTGGTTTCAGGTGAACGTGTGATTAGTGAAATGGCTGCTGGGAAATGTAGTCCGGGGTGACATGTGAAAGTCTGTGTAGTGAGAGAGTCATAAAAATGGAAGAGCGACCTCTGGTGGTAATTGGACGGAAGTCCATGAACCGGATTCGTGACAAGAATCGATAGGCGGAATCGAAAATTTATTTTGACAAGTATCCGATTCCTGACCTTAAAGGCCCGTTCACACCAAGGACGATAACTATAAAGATAGCGATAAAGATATAGTTCTAAAAATCGTTTTCAATATTAAAGAATAGCAGAGTCCACACCACAACTATAACGATAAATGTACAGAAAAACGATATCGTTGGAATCACTTTCAGAACGATTTTTTTCCAGCTGATGAACGATAAAAACATTGACAGCCAATCAGAATCCATCCAGCTGTAACGAGCTCGAGAATTTAAAGCGGCAGACACGCGTGCGCTTAGAATAAACAGACGATATCGTTCGCTGGTGTGGATGCTAATATCGTTATCTTTATAGTTATCTTTATAGTTATCGTTCTTGGTGTGAACGGGCCTTAAGTATCCGATTCTGGATTCGGAATCGATTTTCGATTCCCAACCCTATTCATTACGTCATAACTGTTTCGAAACGTTTCGAAATTTCAATGGTTCGCCGCTGGGGGGCGATCTCTGTGAACTAGTGAATCATGCGAGTTCATTGAGATCGCCCCCCAGCGGCGAACCATTGAACCAGCGTTTATGGTTTTTACCTGATCTCGGATCTGTTTCATCAATTTGTACACATTTTAATGAGACATTTGTGTAATTAAAAGGACGAGTAGTTAATAGTCTCTTACTGGCCTCTATATACAAACTCTCCAAAAAACAAACAAAACGCCTTGCAAATTAATATAAAAATTTTAAAAAACCACATGTTTTACAGACACTTCATATTAAATGGTATTTTATGGTTTTTATTGCATTTAATGTATTATGCTTTCAATAAAACATTTGCAATGGGTTTTTAAAAGCTGTTTTTATCCATTTTTAGCCTGAGTTTTTGTTGCATTTACACACTTTTGACCAGCAGGAGTCACCAGCGCTGCACAACACTGCCCTCTTGTGTCAATTTCTATGTACAAAAAGTAACCCCAGACACACACACACACACATATATTATATATATATATTGTATATACTCGCCATTCTAGACTTAGAGGTAATTTACAGATTGGTTTGCCCTTTCCTCCTTTTTTGTCTACAGGAACCGTTATCTGACCTGTGTGTGTTGGCGTTGAATGGATATTCACTATTACATTCCTAAACAGCCTTGCAAAAAAATCC